TAGTAGTAGTAGTAGTAGTAGTAGTAGTAGTAGTAGTAGTAGTAGTAATCGTAGTGGAAGGTTGCAGTGGTGGTGGTAATGGTTGCCACGGCGAAGCCGCGTGTACGATTAAACTAACGCATTTCGCGTGGTCGTCGGACAGGGCGGCCGTACGCTGGAGGTTCGCGCGCGCGCCAGCGGCAACAACCGCTATCGTCTGACCAGAGCGCGCGACGGTCGTCGGTTTCCCGCGCAAAACCGGTCGGGGCAACACTGTCATGCGGTGAGTTCCCTACACCCTCTCGACCCGCCCACCACCATTGAATATATCGCTATAGTGGCGCGCGGCCAACACGACCGTTAACAAACCGACCGAATTTTAAATTCAAAATCGTTAACGTTCGCTGCAGCCGTCGTCGTCGTCGTCGTCGTCGCCGTCGGTCAACTCGTTCGCGCGAAAACTTAACGCATTTGTTGATTCGTTTTTTTTCGCTTTCTACCGTCTCCGTCCGTCGTCCGACAAACGTCTGAAGTCGTCTCCGTTACCTTGTACATGTACGCGTACACGTTCCGTACGTCCGACCAAGTTACTGCGAATCTGCGGCGCGGGTACGATTGACGTCACGTTGACCGCCCCCGAGGCACGTTGGTTCGCTCGAGCAAACACTCGTGTCTTCAACTGTGCCTACTTGACCGGACTCACTGCTGTCGTCATGGTGTTGTCGGACGTGAATGGAAACGGTAAGAAATCGTCGGCGGCCGAACGTTGGATGAGACAGCGCAACGGACAACGGGCGTCGGCCGTGCGGTGCATATTCGGGCCGCCCGAGAAACGGGCGCACCTGATGATTATCATGCGCAACGAGGCCGAGATGGAACGCAAACGGATCGAGTTCGCTGCCCGTTACGAGCCGGTAGGCCTGTCGCCTAACGAGCGGCGAAATTTCTACGACGGACTTGTCAAGTCGTCGCCGACCTCCAACCGCCATTATCAGCAGCAGCAGCCGCACCAGCAGAACAACGGTAAGTCGAGAGCAAACGTGCGTAAAATAAAGTTCGTTAAAATTTCGCGCGAAAATGTTTCCCTCCTCCCCGCTCCCGACAATTCCTTCGATTCGTTTCGCCGCACCGAATCGAAAAATGTCCGACCGTATCGTTTACGTGCGCATTTTTGTGTCACAGCAATCTGTCGATTCGATAACGGTTCATCGCCGACCAACGCGTGACCGAAACCGATTTCCCGGGGTTCGGCCGTCCCGCGAAAACACGTGTTCCCCGTCAAGACGCACCTGTTGATCGCTGAGATATCTTCCCGGGCGTGCTACGATTATCGTAATTCGGGCGTGCGTCGTAATCGGAAGCGGTATTTCGTGCGCTTTTGGTTGCGAGTTAAGCGTTGACGCTTACGACGTGAGCGTCTTCTATACGATTTGCGATCTACATGAACACGGTATAAACCGCTGTCGGCCGCCGGGATCTTATGCGAATGAAAAAAAACAACAAATGTATTACAAACACGACTAAAGTCCGATCGATGTATTTGCGAGATAAACCATTGACGACGAAGTCTGATGTTCTGATAACCACAAAATTATAATTTTATTAAATCACACACGGGCGCGCGCTCTTCGTTTATCTATAGTTGAAGTTGGAAACGATTGGCCGGGAAAAAATTGTGCTTTGAAAATGGAGGGAGATTGTAGCGCGTCGCCGGATAGTGTACACGTTTTAACGGCGTCGCCCGTGGTATAAAATATAAAATCATGTGCATCGTTTTTGCCGCCAAAACCACTAGCTACAGTAGTCGCCCTCGTTCGGCGTGGTTATTGTCGTAATAATAATAATTATATATACGACGATGTCTTCATATTGAAGGTAAAAAAAAAAAAAAACCTTTTTTCTTTACTGGTTTTAGGTTAGGTAATAATAATGGTTTGTTGTGTGTACGTGCGTCTGTGTGTGTGTGCATTGTCGGTATTGAGATACGGTCGGGAGGTAGTAGTAGTGATGGTGACTGCGGCGGCGGCGGCTAGGGGCGATTGAAATTTAAAATGCACGAGACGACGTGTTGTGCGCGCATATGGTAAACGTTGTCATCGAATAGTAGGCCGCCGTCGTGAGTCTTTTTCGTGTTTTTTTCCTTTTTCTTACTCGCGCGCGCTCATGACGCGACCAAATCGAACGTGACACATTTTAAAACCGGTATTTTTCGAAAAACGTACGATGGCGAGACGACTCGTGTCGTGCCCATAAATAGACGGGAAGAAGTATTGTTTTTTTTCGTTATTCCCTTCCCCTGGCGGTACTCGCGGCATCACGTTTGCCCTTCCCCCCGCAGTACGAAAATATAAGACTGTAATAGTAATAAATGTACGGGTAGTCGGATGTATTAGGTGTTCGCCCAGCGCGTGTTGGGGTGACCAAAGAGGAAAATAGGAGGAGGACGAGTCCGACTGACTCGGTGAAGGAGCTTCAAGGTCTTATCGACCACTGCAGGTACGGATCAGTGGAAGATGAGGGATGGTGGCGCTCACGAAAGGGAGAGAAACATTGATGCAGCACGCGCGTACTGCGGTGGTGTAAAAAAAAAAAATTGGCGGGAAACGTCGGTAGCACGCGCTGCACGTAAAATCGAGTAAAAAAAAAACTGAGCCAAAATCGCATCAGACCGAGAGAGGGGAGAGAAAAGTTAAGTACTAAAACGAGTTTGAACACACACGCGCACACAATACTTATATTATTACGCTATTACTGCGCGCACACGTACGTGAATCGCGTGTATCTCTGTCAATGCCAATATCGCGCGCGGAATGTGTCCAAGGCCATTAAAATGCACCGGCGCGACACAGTAGCAATCATAAATAAAAATTGGGCGGGAAAACGCGGCACATGCATTACATTTTCGGTCGTCTATGAAGTATGAAAATTGTAATATATTTTACATCATTGCTGCGGTGCTTTTGGCGAGTTCCGTCCCCTACGGACGTAACTAAACCAATGTTGTTGGGAATGCACAAAAGTTCCTTCCTTCCCTTTTACCCTTCCGCATTACCAACATTGAACGCACCTTCCTGTGCGTTTCTAGACTAGATCGAGCGGAGATTGCGTTTTATCGTGTTTTTACGAAAATCAACGAGAAGGTAAAGAGTGTCGACCGGTTTCAAAAATAACAAAAACCTTACACCCAACCGTGTAACCGCGTTATAATGTTTTCAAATATTTGAAACCGCGTGTCTTAATATAAGCGTCACTTTTATAATAATGGAAGGCGGTTCGCGCGCGATGTAAACTCACCGGCACAACGATCGACTGTTCAAGTTGATTTCTGGTGAAAAAAAAAGGAAAAATGAATCGCCGTGATACGTGCAAAAATCGTTATAAAAATAATGGTTAGAATTATTCTCTTTTTACCGTAAGACAGCCTGGTAAACGCGTACATTTTTACCGTATAGATTATTCCGTTTCGTGATACGTACGTTGGACCGCGTACGCGCATTGCCGATAAGCGGTTCTGTTGTACACGTATACGAAAATAATAAATAATACAATTACGAATTATTGTTATAGTTTTTTTTTCTTTTCTCCTTATCATTATAACGTAACCGCGACGATCACGCACAACGCGTTTTCGATTCGTTTGTTGTCCGACACGTCGCGCGCCGTTTTCCAGATAAATTCGGTTCTCGGAAATCGGACGAACAGCGTCGACGACCTACTACTACTACTACTACTACTACTACCGTATACGACGCGATGGACACACGATACGTGCGCTCCGGGTAAGTCGTCGCGGTGCTCCGCTGTTATCGTCAATCATTTTACATAATTCGTGTACGCCGCGCGCGTTGCCGTTTATCATAGACGAAATAATTGGCCGTTCAACCTTGAACGTGTAATATAGACAGATTCCGTTTGAAATCGTCTTCGTTGCGCGCGCGCTTATATTGCACGCTGCTGTAGACGTTCAATTTGACATCTTACGCTCACCGACGTCCGTTGCGCACTACTGTCCACTACTGATACCACTAGAACTCTGTGCGTATTGTGTGAAGTGTCTCCTCACCGCTCGCGGGAGCTGCTTATTTGTGTCGCAGGCAATCGTGTCGACGGTTAAGTGGCTGAACGCGAACATTGTTGTACTGAACTCATAAGCGCAACTAGAGTGGGGGGGGGGGCTTAGCCCTGGACCAAGATTTAGCCCCCTCCCCCATAAATATTCCATTTCATATACATTGCGTACCGTATACAGCATACTTGACTCATAATAGTGTCACATACAAAGAGAGACACGTTGCAGTAAATCCAACTTGGCTCAGAATCTAAAATATGTTAAAACACGGTATATACGAGTAGATGTAATCTACAGGTTATTTTAAATTTTGGTAGGAGGGATATGTAGCCCCCCTCCAGATTTTTTACCCTAGTTGCGCCTATGACTGAACTACGATTTCATTTTGCGGTCGTTGTAATTTATACGCGATTAGTCCACGGACAATATGCATTCCTACGAATACATGACGTTTTCTTGACCGACGGAATACCTCCTGGCAGTGGCGTAGTGATGGAGAAGCGGCCCGCACCGGTTAGGTTACTTTTTAGGGGGTAGCAAAATTTCACAGTAAATAATAAAATATATTTGGTAAATATTTGAACCATTTCATATTTCGCAACTATAAATTCGGACCGAATGAAAAGAGCACGGAATTTTTCATTACTTATTCTGTGACGAATTCGGGAATTCCCTTTCTTTGAATGATATTTTGTGCTTGGATTGTTAATGACTTATAACCAGCGTGAATGACTTCTATTACATATATATTAAAATCAATATTATTTATTACGTCCCTTTAAGAAAGTACGTGATGTTTTGACAATTCAAAGAAAGTTTTATTCATGGATCTTCAGTTGTTTAGTTCACACTATTTCGTAACTGTGATTTTTGTGCAAATAAGTACGTGTAGTGATTATGAAATTATTAGATAACTTTGTGAAAATTTGAACTTTCCGCTTCGTTTACCTACATTCAACTGTGTGAGTATTAAATATTTTATTTATGTAATTGTATGTTGGACTGTCTGATATGTTGTTGTTCAAGCTTTAATTTATTAAAATGCGGCCATGTACTAGTATTACACTCGCATACCCAGGGTTTCGAATAAATATCTACGGTTTTCAGATTTTTGCCTATAGATGTGGTGTAAAATATACCTAGTTTTTAAAATGTTTGATAGTTTTTTTTTGTAACTCTAACTTTTATCATTATATATATATATATATATATATATATATATTTTATTTTAGTATCAAAAATGAAAAGAATAAAAGAAATTGGGGTGGAATAAGATAGTAATATAATAATACGTATAAGTATCTATAAGTAGGTTCTATTACCTATTTAAAATTAGGATTTACCTCGACAATCGCATGATTAAATAATACCTTTGTACTCAGGCGCAACTAAGGTTAAATAGCTAGGAGAGGCTACAGCCCTCCAATCAAAACTTAAAATAATCTGTAGATCACCCCTACTCTTATATGCCATGTTAATATAGGTTTTAGTTTGGTTGGATTTTAGTTGGATTTACTGCGATGTGTCTTTTTGTATGTGGCACTATTGTGAGTTATGTGAGTTATTGTGAGTATGCTGTATGCAGTATGCCATGTATAACATGGTATATTTATGGGGGGGGGGGTGACTTATCCCCCTAGTTGCTCCTATGTCTTTGTACCTGTTATATCAATGGTTGAAATAAGAATTTTTGTATTAATAAATGTGATTGTAAAACAAATAAACTTTTTTGTTTAAAATTTTTCCTGTATAATTCAAAATAATAATAACTGTTCTTGCCGAAAAGTTCTCTAGAATTAATGTTTATAATGTATAGTATACATTAAATTGAAATATCTAATTAAGAAGGCAGTAAAACTGTCTTCCGCCACGGGCAGCCGATACCCACACTACGCCACTGCCTACTGGACGATAACCTGAAACGTTGCGCACGTCGGATGTCGAGCGGAGTCAC